AGCTCCCTGTGGACCTCACCCCTGGCCAGATCCGCTGCAGCAAGCGGGAGGTGGTGCTGACAAGGGGTGCGGAGCGGCTGGCCACCCGGGAAGATGGAAGAAAGCTTTACAACTACTTCAGCTCCTTTGAGGGAATTGGAGGCTTCCAAGACCACTTTGACTGGTGAGAAACAGGGCACTGAGGAAGTGGATTTGGCGTTATATTGTCTCCTGTGATTCTCTGATCTTCTGAGATAGCTCCTGGTTTTGAAGTCTTTTTGTTTTTGGGGCCCCTGTCACTTATGCACTCCCTGTTTTTCCTGTGTGTAGCCTGATGGGGCTCTCATACCTTTCCTCAGGTCTCCATGCCCTGGTATACTCCATGCTTTTCTCCAAACAACCCCTGATTTGTCACCTTGGTGCAAAATGCCTTTCCCAGGAGGCCACAGCGGGCAGCAGGATGGGACATTCTCCATCCCACTTCCCTGGCTCAGAGGCTGCCCTGAACCTGCAGTACAGCCTGCCTTTGCCTGGGAGCTGTCACCCTCTCACTCCCTTGACTGCTTCTTCTCTTGATAACTGTTTCAGGTGGGCCAGAAATAATTTCTGTTCCCACGGTGGGAAGCCCCTGTGGATAGACCCCCACGATCCTGATGTTCACCACATCTTCATCGATGACAATATCCGGCTGGACGATGCAGACACCATTGTCCACCCACAGGTAAGTGGCTGAAGGCCACACTGGGGGTGACCCTGGTGAGGTCAGGCATGTTTTGTGTCCTTTGCATGAGGCTGCAAAGGGGGATTGAGGTGTAGCCCTGGTGTCACTGCACCCTGTGGCACCAGCATGGCAGTGGCCTCAACTCCTGCCCATTTCCATCTGTAAGGAGACAGTGCTGGGGGGAAAACCTGCAGCAGCCGGTAAAGAGTCAGCAGTGTTTGCCAGGCAGCCAGGGAGTTACGAGGGATGACGTGCTTTGTGGATATTCCCTTCCATACAAGCTCTCCCAGGTTGTAATTTTGTCACTGGTGGCAGGAGTTGTCACTACCTGGACAGACCTGTCAGGAGTAGGGTTTGGTCTGTGCTGTGCCTGGTTCAAGGGAGTTATTGCAACAGCCTCTGTGTGCAGCAGCTGCTGCCTGGATGTCTGCAGCAGATAGAGAATGGCTCACACAGCTCCACTTGCTGCATTTCAGCCTCAGGCTGTTTCCCTGATCAAGGACTTCCTCCTTTTGCCATCAGTAGCTGGAATGGCTGGTCAGTTGTGCTGCTTGGCTTGTCTCAAGGGCAGCCCTGCAGCCCAGCCCCAGGGCTGTTCCCATGCCAGATCACACGGGTAGGATCCAGTTATGGTGGCAGCAGGCCTCGTGGGAGTCTGGGCAGCAGCTGAGCATCTTCCCAGCAGGGCTCATCCTCACTGCTGGGACCTTGCTGTCCTGCAGCCAGGATCTGTAGGTTGGATGCCATCTTCCCCTCCTCTTGCATCACCAGCTCTGCAGTGCTGTCCTCATGTCAGTGACGGTGACAGAGCAGCGCTGGAAGTGAAACAGATTACCAGGTGGCCTTAGACAGAGCCATGGTGAAGATCAGAAGGTGAAGTTCCTGTTCCCTCCTGTGGCAGCTAAAGGAGAGCTGTTGGCAGAGGTTTTCCTGGGGTTGGCTGCTCCACAGAGCTATTTTCTTCCAGCTGTGTGGTGTGTTCCTTTAGGGGAGCACCAGCAGCATGTGTGACAAGCTGGTTTGGAACCAAAGGCACTTTCTGTGAGGGAGGGGAAATCTGAAGAAAGTTCACCTTGTGCTGCTGGAGTGGAGATGGGATCCCCCTGCCCTCTGACCCTGACCCACGGCCAGCATGGAGGTGCCTGGCCAGGGGAGGACAGGGGCACCACAGGGCACATGTGCTTCTGCCAGGTCCTGCTCTCCCCACAGGTGTTCTCGGAGCGGGGCAGCAGCAGCCCCAGGAGTGCACCCACCTCAGAGCTGTATGACGTGTGCCTGGTGCAAACAGACCTGCTGGAGGCCATTGCTGATGAGGACTATTTCCTGCGCTGCGTGAGGAGGTGCGAGGAGAACTATGACCGCTACCTGGCCTGCACAGAGAAGGACACTCCAAGCCAGCAGTGGGATGGACAGTGATACCACCTCATGGGGCCAAGGGGCTCCAGAATGGGACACCCCCCACTTTCTACTGCGCACAGGCAAAGTCCTGGGCTGGGCTCCTGCTTCAAGCTGTTCCCTCTCCAATGTGCAATGTGGGCGTTCAGTCCTACCAGGAGCCTCCGTGCCCAAACACAAGTGTCCCGGGAGCTTGTGTGGTGGGATTCCTGGAGGAAATGGTTTTCCATTCCTTGGCAGCGCTGCCCATGGTGCCCTTCCTGCATGAGGGCTGGGGCTCACTGTGCCCCTCTGCTCACCAGGCAGGTCCTTCCATCCCTTGCACCATGGCTGTGATGCAGCCTCGCAATGTTCACACCTCCCTTCCCACTCCCACGGCGGTGACTGGTGCGGAACAGGTGCCGGCGTGAGCACAGTGTTATCGGCAGCACCCACAGGTGCCATTTCTGGTGTGGCGTTCTCGGCGGATGCCCTGTCACTTCTCCCTGTTTTTAAAGCAAACCTTTTTAGCTCATTTCTGTGTGAGTTTCCTGCCTGCCCTTGCCTCTGCCTGTGCTGGTGGGTGGGAAGCGCCTTTCCTGGCATGTTCATTTGCCTGGCTCAGCCAAGTGGGGACAAAAGTGGCGGTGGAGGGTTTAAGACCCGTGTGCATCTTCCTGACGCTGCTGAGAGACTGTGGCAAGGGTGTGCTCAGAGTGGGGCTGAGCTCATGCTCTGTCCCTGCAGCCCTGCAGCATTGACGGGCCAGGGGGTGCTCTCCTGAGCAGGACGGTGGGTTCTCAGCTCTGTGAGCCCGGCGTTGTGTGGCTCCAGCACCGGCAGCGGGATCTCTCCAGCTCCTCTCCCTGCGGCGGCTCCGTCCCGACGAGGTGAACGCGATAGGGGCACGGCGGACTGGTGGCAGCGGGAGGACCGGGCAGAGGGGAGCGGAGCCCGGAGGGGGAGCCAGGGCGGGCGCGGCGCCGCCCCCACCGGCAGCGGGCGGGCCCGGAGCGGGCGGTGGCGCGGAGCGGCGGGGAGAGCGGCGGAGCGGGCGGAGAGGTGAGCCTGGTCCCAGTCCCTGTCCGTACCCCTGTCCCAGCGACGGGGCGGCGCAGGCAGTCCCGGTACGGCGGAGCGGCCGTCCGGGGGTGCAGGCGAGAGCCTGGGGAGGGCCGGGGATGCTGGCAGTGCAGCGGGAACCCGGGAAGCGCCGGGGGTGCGGGCGGTGCAGCGGGAGCCCGGGGAGCGCCCGTGAGTGCAGGCTGCGGGCAGTGCCCCAGAGCCCCGTGGGTTGCGAGATGCGGGCAGGAGTCCGGGCAGCGCCGCGTCGTGCGGGCGGTGCGCCGGGAGTAGGAGCATCACGGAGTCCGGGCTGTGCACTGGGAGCCTCAGAAGGTGCGGGCAGAGAGAGACGGGCGCGCGGAAGTCCCGGTGGGTACAGGCTGTGTGCCGGCGGCCCAGGGGAGTGGGAGCCCGGAGTGTGGGAACTTCGGGGAGCAGGAGTACCAGTGGGTGCGAGCAGAGAACCCCAGGGAGTGGAAGCCCAGAGGGGGCGGGCAGGGAGCCCCGGGGAGCGGGGGCTTTCGCAGCGCCGAGGGGAGCTGGCTCGCTGGGGCTGGGGGAGCGGTGCATGCCTGGGCGCTGACTCGGATGCTCTCCCCTCAGGAGGCGGTGGGCAGAGCCGGGCCAGTGCCGAGTCAGGCCGGATGGGCGACACAGCGAGATCAGGATCCGGGGACCCCCGGGGCGGCTGAGCAGGCCCATGGCGGCGGGCGCGGGCGCCTTCGCGTGGGCCACCTTCCCCTCCATGCCCACGCGGCGCGTGTACTGCAGCGCCGTGCACCGCGACGGGCAGCTCTTCGTGCTGGGCGGCTGCGGGGGCGGTGGGCGAGCCCTGGGAACGGCCGAGGTGCTCGACCTCCCGGCCCAGCGCTGGACCACGCTCCCACCACTGCCCACGCCGCGGGCTGGCGCTGCTGCCCTCGCCCTGGGCAAGCAGATCTTGGTGGTGGGTGGCGTGGATGCGACGCAGAGCCCTCTCGCCTCCGTTGAGGTCTACCACGTGGATGAGGGCAAGTGGGAGAAGAAGGCGGCACTGGCTCAGCCCTCCATGGGCATCTCAGCTGTGCAGAGAGGTGAGGGATGGGGAGAGTGCCTGGCTGCAGTCTGGAAAAGTGGAGATACAGGAGTCAGGGATGCTCAGGTGGGATTTGAATCCCTGTGCTGTTTGGGATGCTGCATAAGGCTTTCACCCAGCAGCCAAACTTGCCACTTAATAGTGGGATCATGCTCCTGCCCCAAAAGCCAGCCCACTTGCAGCCCAGAGATGAGCAATACAGAGCCCCTCCAGGCATGGTTGCCTTCCCCAGCTGCCCTGGCTGTGGGCCATGTTGGGTGGCTGAGCACTCTGCTTGAGCCCAGCTTGGTGTGCTGTGCATCGAACATATTGTGACTCCTGCCCAAAGTTTCCTGAGCAGCCTTGGAGCCTTGGCACAGTCTGGCATGCTAGGAGCCAGGTATGTGGTGCCCAGGTCTGCTTCCTGACCAGGGATGCTGTGGCATGGCCCAGGTTGCAGCAGGCTGAGCAGGGCAGAGAGGATGGCAGGACAGTGGTGGGAGCGGGCAGGGGTGCAGGCCACGCTGGGAGCAGGAGCAGGAGCAGGATTTGGCAGAATGGCTGTGTTGCCATGGTGTCTCCAGGGAGATGGTACTGCTGAGAATAATTAGAGAGGATGGCCTTGTGCTCTTCTCTGTGTCTGATGGATGGCATGGAGAGGGGGACAAGAGGGTCCCATCAGGATCAGGGCATTGCCAGACTCAGGCCTGGCTACACCATCCCCTAGCCACCCCGGAACGATGTGTGCCCATGGGACTCTGCAGTGCCCGTGCTACCAGCCCTGGAGGGCACAAGGGCACTCCCAGCCCCATGGTGCTGCCCACAGAACTCCCTGCCTCACCACTGCCTCTTTTGCAGACGAGGCTGTTTATGCACTGGGGGGAATGGGTGCGGACACCTCTCCCCAGGCGTTGGTCCGTGTCTATGAGCCGGCGAAGGACCACTGGCAGCCCCTGCCCTCCATGCCCACCCCGTGCTATGGGGCCTCCGCCTTCCTGCAGGGCAACAAGATCTTCATCCTGGGTAGGTGCTGCTGGGGCGAGCTGAGCATCCCCTGTGTACCTTCACCTGCCTCTGGGTCACGGAGTGACCTGGTGCACCCCAGGGCAGCTCCATGCTGCCCAGCACTGCAGTCATTGGGGCCCCTCTGGCTTGCTGAGCCCACGCTGCCCAGCACTGCAGTCAGTGGGGCCCCTCAGGCTTGCTGAGCACAGTGATGGTGCCAGCTCGGGGCACCAGCAGCCACAGCATCTCCTCTGTGCACAGGGGGCCGGCAGGGCAAGCTGCCCGTCACAGCCTTCGAGGCCTTCGATCTGGAGACAAGGAGCTGGACACGCTATCCCAGTGTGCCCAGCCGCCGCGCCTTCGCCGCCTGCGCCATGGCCGACGGCATCGTCTTCAGCCTGGGGGGGCTGCAGCAGCCAGGGCCACACAACTTCTATTCCCGTCCCCACTTCGTCAACACCGTGGAGATGTTCGATCCCGCCCAGGGTGAGCTCCATGTCCCTGAGTGGAGTGGAAGCATCACCTACATGTCCAGGATGACTCCTTGTGTTGGTGAGGGGTGTCTGCGCCTGTGGGACGTGATTATGCAGGCTCTGAACATCAGCCCCTTGCACCCATGTGAATCCTGCCCTGTGCTCCCTGGTCCCAGGGAGTGATTAATCTGGGGCTGTCCTGGCATCAGTGTGTGGAGAGGAGCCCCAGTGTGTGACGCTTACTCCCTCTCACCCCCAGGTGCATGGAGAAAGCCAAACCGCACCATCCGCATGAGGGAGAAGAGAGCCGACTTCGTGGCCGGCTGCCTAGGAGGAAGAGTGGTGGCCGTGGGTGGCCTCGGTAATGCCGGGGATAGGCGTGTGGCCGTGTTCCCATCCCCATCATTTGTGGCATATCAGTGACCTGCATGACAGTGGAGAGGTTGGCTGTGAAAAGCCACGGGGTACTGCAACACTGTCTGCATCTGCATCCCTTTTGTGCCCTTCAAGTTCTGGGAAGACTCTAGTGCCCTGTCCCAAAGGCTGCCCCACTGAGCCCCTTGCCCCTTTCACCTCCAAACCAGGCTTTTTCCAGCTCATGTGCAGTATGCCGGGCTCACAAAGCCCACAGCGGCTCAGCCCCACCGTGCAGGGCTGCAGCACTGCATCCCTCTCCCGAGGGAGCTGGGGAAAGGTTAGTGCTGTCACTCAGCAGCAGGGATGCAGCAGGAAGGGCTGTCTGGGGAGCCTGGTGCCAGCCACAACACCCCCAGCCCTGCAGTGAGGGCTGCTAGACCCCCCAGGCTCACCCTGGGTGAGCTGGGCAGGAGGGCAGGAGGAGGTGATGGGGAAGGCAAGTGGTGCTGGCTGCATCCCTGCGGTGTGGCATTGTTCCTGAACCCTGCCGCTGCTGGAGCTGCCCTCCCTTATCCCTGCGGAGTGCCGGCACAGGGTGGGCAGAGCCAGCAATGCGGCATTAATGTCAGCAGCCCTCCCTGTGGGGACTTGGCTAATCCTCTTGTTCCCCCACTAATTGCCTCTGGGATCTCAGAGCCCCTGCAGCCCAAGGCTCCTGTTGGGATATCAGAGGCATGCAGAGGGGGAAAGGCAGACACTAGGGGGTGTGTGTGGGGGGGGATGCAGGAGGTTCTGATGCCATTCTATCTCCCACAGGGAACCAGTCCTACCCACTGGACTCAGTGGAAGGGTTCAGCCCCTCACAGAAAAAGTGGGAGCCACTGCCCCCCATGCCCACAGGCCGCTGCTCCTGCTCCAGCTGCCCAGCACCCGGCCTGCTCTTCCTCATCGGTGGAGTGGCCCAGGGCCCCAGCAGCGCCGTCGAGGCTCTGTGCCTGCGTGAGGCACCCTGAGTGGGGCCCCGGGAGCCAGCCCCAGCCAAGCACCAAGTGCCTGAAGACGGGGACAGGGTGTGTGAGCACCCATGCCTGCGAGTGACCTGGCTCCAGGGAGCTGCAGTCCCATGACGTTGGGCACGGGAGCAGCTGCAGTTTTGGAAATCCCTCTTGGCTCCTGTAGTGCTGTGGTGATGGAACCCAGGGCAAACTCCTGCCTGGTGGGACGGCCATGGCCAGCAGTGTGGAGGGAGCAGCGGTGGCGGGACTGTCGCTGGCCTCACTGCCCTGCCCGGCCCCGGCCGTGCCGCGGCGTGTCCGTGCCGTGTGTGTAGCAGTGAGTGCTGTGTCGTCGTAGACCCAGTCGATGTCTCATGTAGCACAGAGGTGCCCTGTAGCTCAGTGCCTGGGAGGTGACGTAGCACCTTGAATAAATGAAACACATGGAATTTTACTCCACAGGAATCGTGTTGTCCATGGTTATCCTACTCCAAGCAGAGACATGCCGCAGCCTGTCAGGAAAACCCCTCCCAGGGGAGAGCCCAGTGAGCCCTTCCTTGGCAGGACCCCGTGTTGTGGGGTGGGGATGGCTCTTGTTCTTCTCCCCACTGCCAGAGTGAGCAGAGCAATGTGATGTAAGGACCTGACCCCCTTTTGGAGAGGGGGAGCTAAGCAGTGGCTGCCCTGCCTTGGCACAGCCTTGCTTCTGCTTGGCCTCTCCTGTGGTGGAAGGGGCTGCAGGGAGTGAAGGCAGCAGCAGGAGAGGGGCTTTGCTGGAGAGAGCTGAGGTGTGAGAGGCAGGAAATGGAGATGGCTGCCAGGATCCTGAGAAATAAGATGAGATGCCTAGTGTCAGCTTCTGGGCCCCATCCAGCACCATGGCCCAATCTCAAAGGATGGACTGCGGCTGGTGTGTGGAAGAGTTGGATCCAGCTGTGGCCAGCTCCCCTATGCAGGAACACCACAATCCTGCTTTTACAGGCAATTGGGAAGTGAAGGTGGTGTCTGTGGGTGATGTTTAGGGGTGTACAGTGAGACCAGTGGGGGGTGACCCCCAATTGCCCAGTGCTGTGGGCTCACATGAGCCTTGCTGGTCTTGGCTCCATCCAGAGTCCTGCACCCAAAGCAGAGAGCAGCAGTAGTGGATGCAGGCGAGGGATTCGATCTTTAACTGGTACAACATTAGAAAGATCTCGCAGGTCTGGGTAAATATCAAGCACAGATGCCTGACCTTTCAGAGGAGACAGCTGGCCCTTGTTGGGCAGGAGGGCTGTAGAGACAGAAGGCTGAATCCCGTCGGAGTGCAGCAGCATCCGGCACACTGCTGGGGCAGGCTGAGCCGTCTGCCGCGGGCGTCACAGCGTGGGGAAAGTTGGAAATGATTCAGAAAAGAGCATTCACAAGACGTTTTCAGTGCCATTGCCCCATTGCTTCTGCTGCCCACCTAGCAGAGTAACCACAGGGTCCATCCTGATGTGCTGCGTGGCTGTTTGCGTGTGATTTGGGAGAAACAACCTGGGATACCTGGGCTGGTGGTACCTCAGCTAGTGGCATCCCTGCATCTGCCTCTGGGGTTGCCATAGAAACCACTACTGTGCCAGAGCCAGCATCAACAGTGAGCCCCAAATTAAAGACTGAGCTGTCTTTAACAACCAAGAGGATGCTGTGGCAGCGAGGGGAGAAGGTCAGCCGCTCATGTTATGAGGGGAGGCTGGACAGAGGGACTCACTCTCTGAACACAGTGTGCTCCAACCTTCTACGAATATTTCACAGCACTCCCTGACCTGTGCTCAGCCCCGTTGGGCTGGTCCTTCTCAGGGTCCTGGGAAGTGACAAATGCCTCACTGCCACCTTGCTACCTCTCCCCACCCTGCCAGCCCTTTCCAGAAGCCACCAAGGCATGCAATAATTCCATTCTCACTAAAACTTTAGTCATGGGGGACCCTAAATCATGGAGCTGCACTGGAAACACAGACCTGATTAATAAGCTTTTCCCTCGGGAGCATCGCATGAATGGGATAAATCATGACGCTGAGTCACCGGCAAATTGACATCCCTGTGTGCCAAGCTCCCTGCTGCTGATGGGGTGCCCAGAGCTCTTTTCCAAATTCAAGGTGATGGCGGCTGCAAGAGCCAGAGGATGCTGGAGGGAGAAGCTGCAGTTCAGGAGCTCATCACTGTTATGGTGTTTCCAGCAGCGAAAGTGGCCGGAACAATGGCCAAGGTCATCCCAGGAATGAAGAGATCTTCAAGTAAAGGGATGAGGGTCCCGACACTTTTGGAGACTGACACATTATTAACTGAAGAGCTCCCATGAGTTTCTAACAAAATGTGCTATGAAGAAAAAAAAAGTCGAGGGACGTACCAAATATATTGCCATCTATCTCCTGGCAGCTTCTGCTAATTTTACTAAAGGAAGGACTCTAAGTACCTGGCCGCCCTCCCTAACGTTAGAAGCACAGGCTGTTACTTCAGATATAAGGAGAGCTACAGTGCCTGGCAACATGGTTAATCTCCCCAGAGTGTGTTTTGGACGGGGGAGACGGAAATGGAGGGAGCTGTCAGACCTATAATTAAAAAAATATGTTTCTATATAGAAATTTCTTTCTGTTGTCAGGAGAGATGGAAATACAAAAATCTCGTTTATCATATTCCACAAACTTGGTAGACGCTCACGCCAGAAAGCTACAGCCACATCAGAAACAGGAATAGCTCCCTATAATTACATGAAATAACACGTTGAGCCTTATCGTCGGTGAACAAAGCACCAGCAAATCCTTTTCTGAGGGTAGTGGAAGTACTGTAAATGAGTGCAGGGCTCTACAGTCTCTTCTGCAGGAATATCTGGGCCAGCTTTCCAATTGTGAGCAATAAAATGATGGAAAATCACCATTATCAATGTAGGGCCATATAGGACCCGGACACACAGCAATGCTCTTGGCAGCAGTGCCATTCACTGGGCTGTACAACAGTCACAGGCAGTTCAGGAGCAGAACAAGGCTTTTATTTACTTAACAAGTGCAATAATCATCAATATTCCCGTCAGCTTGGCTCTCTGGAGGAAGGTTTGCCTTCCAGTCCACGGCTGCCTTGGACAGCCCAGCCATTATCCCACCTCTGAAGTAGGAACACGATCCAAGTTGTGATTCCCCACTCTGGTCCTAGAAAATCAACCTGTTAGATGCTCCTCATGCAGCTGAGAATTACCAAGTTGTCTTGCTAAATCCGAGCTATTTAAAGCAACCCTAGTGCTGTAATGCCAAGGAAAAACAATGCAGATAAGTCACTCCAATAAGTTTTTTATGGGTAAAAGACCAGAATTTTTATTTTCTTTTTTAAGTGAAAGCTCTATTTCTGTGGGATTTGGTTAGGAAACCAGATATATACATCAGGAAAGCCATTATTTTGACACTTCTGAACTCCAGGCTGCCTTTAATATGAAAGGCAAAAGAGGATAAAGGGGAATGCAAGTATTTCCTCTGATCTATCCATGAATTTATGTCAACCTTATTTTTACAGTGGTTTAGTGCTTAAGGAGTATCTTCAGAGCCAGCAAACAAACATTTTAACTAATATTGGGATAGTTTTGAATTAAAGGAGGAAGAAACAGGCAAGCAAGTGTGCCTGTTTTACATTCTTAAAGATGGAGGATACAGAAGCACAAGGGAAAAAAAATCCAGTAAAACCATATTTGAGAATCTTTCTCTGGGGAATGTTTAGATGATGGGTTATTTTTGTCATACTTCTAATGGGTGAAATTGAATCATTCTGCATTTCTGCCAGAGATATTTACATGAGAGACCACACAGTCTCTGGATATGAAGGAAATGAGTGCTGTGGCTGCTGTTCTCCCATGGGAGGTGCCCTCAGTATCCCACGCTCCAAGCCTCCTCTTCCTCCCTATGCCCTGTGATGACCCCCTGTGCCCAGGATTATGCTCCCAGGTGAAGGGCAAGAGCTGGCCCGTGGAGAGACTGGAGCTGGGGCTGATCCTGGGTCCATGACCAGGTACCCCCATCTCTGAGGTGAGATCAAGGGATCCCCAGCTCGGGGTGACCCCAGGAACCCTCAGCCTCAGGGAGAGATCCAGGGACCCTCAATCTGGGGTGACCGAAGGCACCCTCAGCCCCAGGGTGACCTCAAGACCCTCTGCCTCAGGGTGAGATCCAGAAACTCCCAGCTCTGGGGTGAGATCCCAGGACCCCAGTCCAGGGTGACCCCAGGGAGCCCCAGCCCCACAGTGACATCCGGGGGCCCTCAGCCTCAGGGTGAAAGTCAGGCACCCCCAGCCCTGAGGTGAAATCCAGGAACCCTCAGCCCCAGGCTGAGCTCAGACAC